GTATTACTAGATTAAGCCTCTTATATTATAATAGATTTTTTAAAAAAAACTACCTCTTTAAAAAGATTAGGGATAGCCCTCCCCTTTTTAAAAACTATCTTTTTTATTTTTTAAAAGCGATCTAATTTTAATAAAGATTTATCTATTTTAGCCTATACCCGATATAAAGCCTTTATTTATTAATAAAAAAGAAGTTTTTTTATTTTTTTTTTACGTTTTAAACGATTAGCCTCGGTTAAAAAACGATTTATTATTTATATATTAACGAAAATAGAAAAACCTATGATAATAATAAAGATTTATAATTATAAATTGCGCTAACCGACGTATTATAAAAGCGACTATAATAAATATATTTATAGTACTTTAACTTCCCTTTAAATATTTTATATTTTTAACTAACCGAGCGATAATATAAATATAATATAATAATTTCGAAACTACGCTCTTTTATTTTAAAAACTAGTTTAAAACGACGATAAATTAAAGAACTAGCGGATATTTTAATAATATTTTTAAATAAAATTAAAACGGATTAATAAGGGAACCTATCGATTTATTTATAAGTTTACGGGATTAGACCTTTAGAAAGGAGACTTAATATTACGATCTAACGTATATAACTAAGACTAGGGCCCGCCCCGCAGGCCCGCAGCGGTTATAGCGTATTATATATACATTAAATAAAATAGATATATTATTTAAAAGAACGGAAGAACTATAAAATAAGTTACGTATAGATAAAAAGGTAATTAGGTAATAAAATAATTATAATAATTACTCCGAATAAGCGCTTATTAAGATCTATTTAGTAATTATTAATAAATAAAATACGTATAGGATAAAGGATATATTTAAGAACGAGATTTATATATAGTATAGATTTAAGCCGGGCTTAAAAATAGACTTTTTATAGCTTTTTTAATAATTAATTTAATATTAAATCTTATAATCGCTTTTAGCTATTTTTATTAAAAACCCCTTTTAATAAAACTACGATTAATTACTAAAGCTTTATTTACTTTATAATTTATAAATATAGCTTTAAAGAAGCTATTTATAACTATAATACTATTTATTTAGCCTTTATAGCCTTAACTTTTATTAATATATTTATTACGACTAGCTAGCCGTAATACCTAAGCGATATAAATAAAGTATTAAGAATAGAAACCTACTTCGTTTATAAAGGATTTTAAAAAAACCTTTATTAATTTAGTTTAGTAGTCGTTTTTATATTAGTATTATATAACCCCGGTTCCTAGTAAAAGAAAGGCCTATTATAATTCTAAGCGGAATAATATTATTGCTAGAATGGAGTAGGATAGTGGAGCCTCTCGACCTCGAAATGTCTAATAGTTAGGGGAAATCTACGTTTCCTAACAGCTTCTAGAGTATCTAACTGAGCCAAATCCTCCGGGGATATTAACCTATATCCTGTAGCGACTTATAACACAGTTTTGACGTCCACTTGTTTCTCGCCGAGTGGTGACCGCTATACAATGTGATATTAGTCCTACTTATTCAATTGGAATATTACTATGCTATCTATCATAGTTAAGATAAATGGGAGTCAGTATTCCAGCGCTGGACTATCAGGGTACACAATCTCATGGAGCGGCTGGGTACGGCAGTGCCGTCAGCGGCCAGACACATGAAGTCGCGGTAACGTCAGCTGGAACCAAATAAACAGTTCTAGCTTTCGCGGCGGCGGCATTGACCTCATTTCTAAGAGCACACGATGTGCTTGCCACGTACAGCTTTTAATAGCACTCAGTTGGAGCAAACTGTAATGCCTCTGACAACTGGCTTCAAGGTAAAGTTCTGTTCGAACCGGGCTAATATTGACATGGTGACCTCTGGTCAGGGCGTATACCTTGGAGTCTCCGTGTAATCAGCGTGTCAGTGTGACCTACTTCGGTCTACTGAAGTTTGGAACCGGAACAGCTAAATTTTCGGAGCTGCATGGCCCAGAAGAACCTTTGCTGAGTTACCTTTCCCATTGGAATTTAGCTCTTTACATATGCCAACAGGCCCTCAGCCCCTTATTGTATGTCTGAAGGCGTGTGTGACCTCGTCGTAATCGCCTTGTATATCATCCAAGCCTGATTCGGCATGACGAATACATATATAACTGCATTGCTTGGGTACTTAACCTTTCAGAACCTAGGCACGATATCATGGCTGACAACATACTGGTATTATCCAGAATCTGGGAAATCTTCAGTCGTTGCGACACGACGGCACCAGGAACGAATCGTTGGCAACGGAGTACACCGGTCGCCTCAATTTACTCCGACACAGATTCCGTCTGGCTCCCAACAGAATGGGAGGCCTCATAAAAGAACAAACACAGTGTGTACCGCATGTATAATACATACTCAAGTACATGTGAAAGATGATCATCCGGTGTGATTTCCAAGAAGCATTGCAGCTAAAAGAGGGGGTATACAGCAGTGGTACTTTGTAGAACTGAGCTGAGACCCAGATAACCTGGCAGTCACCAGCTTCCCAATATGGATGCCGGTAGACGAATGCCCAGAAGGACTTGGAGACGTGGCTTACAAGTCCGAGATGGTGTGCTAACAAAAACAGACCGTGTGGACGCCAATGCTGCACGAAACTCCCAAAGCAGAGATACAGGAGGCTCGTATCTGCAGTGACGGTCAATTCAAGTTGTTTGGTTATCCCATGATCACTGAAACGGGCCATCAGCAGGACTTGCGGCGACACCGAAGCTCGTTCATCCACGAATGGTTTGGAAGAGATAAGCGAAATATGCAGAGCTCCTCACCACCATGGTCATGTTGCTGAAGACATATTTGTTGAATGCTGATTCCTAGAGAGGCAGACCTTTCGAACCGCGGCGAATGGTCGGGGCGGCCGTCAAAGGCCTCCACATGCGTGGTTTATCGCCACTGTTTGTATAGGTATCAGGATGGCCCCACTTCCGACGTCGTTTTTCAACTTTGCGCTTTTCATAATTCCTGATTTCGATTCTTTACACAGTGATACAACAGCTACCGTGCATACGGAAACTCATCTCCTCAATGTTCGAGACAGACTCACAGACACAACTGGGAGAGCTTCTGATGGGGCAAAGTCTCTCTTTGCCCCGTCTCAGCTCACTGGTACTAGATGTCTGGTTGTCTGTCATACAAGAGAAGACCTGGGCATTAAATGAGAGTCCAAGTGTACAGAGCAACGTGTCAGTGAACAGTCCATTGTCTTTCGTGGGCAATCTTGAAGAACACCGAGACATACACTGGGACAGGGACGATACCAATGATTGTGTCGCCGAGACAACTGCAACCAGAAGTACACTCGACGACTCAGCTGCGAAAGATAGCAGATGGAACATGGAGAGATTTCTTCTAAATGAGGAACGCAATCGTCTATGTCTGTGGCTATCGGCATTTTCGGCTGAGGAGCTTGACCGCCTCATCAACGTGCTAAACAGCCCTTCATTGCACGTTTTTGGTATAGCTACTCTGGAGTCTTTTGTGAGAATTGGAGAAGCTCTGTTAAAGCACACAAGTAAGTCATTTTCAGCTTACAATACTTTGGTAGAACGGCCCAGATGAACTACGGAGTACTAAAGGACAGTCTTGTTAGATCCAACGAATAACAGCGACTATCAGTTGCAGACGCGGGATGAACTCAGATCAATGATTCAAATTGGAAACCGCTGTATTCTCGACTTGTCCCAGACACTTGGATCTGAGGTTGATAGGAGCAGCATCATTTGGGATGTTTCAGAAGGTTGCAGCACAGCAAGCTCCTACTTGTCACTCGTTCCAGGCGGCAGTGACAACACACTCCATTCCACTCTGAAGTCTGAGATTGCTACGCTGCACGAGCTAGGATATGCCATTCGTCGAAGCTTTGCCGAAAGATCTTGACATGAAGTTGGATCAAATCAGCTGGAGTATTTACTTGAGTTCTTACAAGCGTACTTTTCCGCTCGTGGTCCAAATTACCTTATCAGCGTGAAATGCATGTGCTCATCTAAACCCGGGAAAAGAGAGTATAGCAATGTTCTATTCTATACAGTAAACTGAATGAAATTGTCTCGATTTCAATTACTGAAACACAATCGAGATTCATTTTTATAACCCCTTCGTGATATTGAGATACGGGTCACAAGATGCATCACAAGCCCTGAAAATGGCACACGAAAATGCCAGTAAGTACCGATTAACTTTTAGATATGTAGGATAAGTACGTAGAGCCTGGCTCCTAATAATATATAAGATACTAATCACCGACTACGTTACTAGACAGGTCGATTTCTATTGCTAATTATTAGGCTCTACTTAGATAGGGGATAGTATAAGTAGCGATAGGAGGAGGACTAAGCAATAAAGGAGTAGCTTAGGTATATATATAGTACTAATAATATACTTCGAGGGAGGGGCAAATTTTAATAATTTATTTTCTGAACCCTAATAGTAATTAACTTTTATAAACTTCTTCTTTATATTATATATTTATTAATAATTTAAAATCTCTATTTATAAAGGGGACTAGGCTAGAAATTTAAAATATTAATATAAATAAATATAGTAAAAGAGCGTAATTAATATAACGCTAATAAAAAAAAAGACTTGCTTTTATTTAACCCTTTAGAATTATTTAAACCGTAACTTATAATATAAATATAAAGTATAATAAAACAAGGTATATAATAATAATAAAAAGGTACTATATTATTAAAAATAATAATAAATAATAAATATTTTAATAAATCTCCTACTTCCGCTCGCTAAAAATTAAATAGAACGATAAATAATAAATTAATTAAATTATAAAAATAAAAACGATATTTAAAAAAAGAGATTTTTATAATAATATATAAAGAGCGTCTATAGCTGCGTGGCTTAGTAATATAAGCCTAGGGAGTCTAAGTATTTTATTTAATTTTTAGCGCGATTTTAAAAAAAAGTAATTTAAATCTACTTATAGTTAACGATTTTTAGCTTACGTAACTAGTAACTACGTAACGCTAATAAATCGTACCCCGTAACCCCTCAATAGGGGGCGGCTATATATAGTTAATTAAAATAACGTTAATTTATTATTTTATATATATACGTATTATAAATTCTATATCGTATATTAAAATTACGTAACGCGCGCGAGGTTATATAACTAGCGCCTATATAACCAGATTAGTAATATAATAACTTATCGTAGTTAGTTTATTAAATAGGGCCGAACTAGTTAGTTTAAATACTATTGCCCGGACGTAGGTATAAAGTAATTATATAATAAAAAAACTAATATATAAAAGGTTAACTTAGGACCCGCTTATTTAAAAATCTATTAGTATTATGTAAGCGCACGCGCGATTAAATAAATAGAAAAGATAGTACGTAAATAAAATACAAAAACCTATAATATATAAAGAGCGTTTATATAAAAAACGTATTAATTTAAAGCGTTTATAAAGTTTTTTAACTAGCCTAGCCCTTATATTAAAGTTTATAGTTTTAACTATAGCGGCCTCGGATATTAACTTTAATATAAATAGAACTACGGACCTTTAAATAGGGGTTAGTTTAATAAATAAACTAGCCCTTAAAGTACCTCTTTGGTTATAATAAAATAACGAGCTTATACTACTTAAATTACTATTAACTAATTTTTTATTTATCATAATAAATACTATAAATAATACGTTTACGTTTAGACTACTATCCCTCCCTAGCCTCTTTTATATTAAAAAATCGTTAAAAGATTTATAAAGTTTTTTATTTAACTATTATTACCGCTTCGATCTATAAACTTAGTAAATAAAAATAAACTATAAT